CCTTCTTAACTTCGTCTGCCAGGCCAACATGCGGGGCGTAAGCACTCACGACATTGATCGCACAGCCACCCAAAACCAACTTGATAAACATTAGACGATCACTAATCCTCTTCACCTCCACCACAAACTCCCGCAGCTCCGGCGCCACCAGAATGCCGACTCCATTCCTTCCCCTAGCTGAACCTGAATACCACAATTTGAAACCATCAACCTCTCGCGCCTTAGTGCCCACCCACCTGGTTTCTTGCACGCATGCCACCTGAATCCTTCTCCTCTTGAGAACTTGCACCAACTCAATCGACTTACCCGTGAGGGTCCCTATGTTCCATGAGCCGAAACGCACATGTGACACTACACTACCCCTCTGCGACCCTCCTACCCCCGTACCCCCTACCCCCGTCCCAACCCCAGGATATGCCCTAATAGCTACATTGCTAACCCACGCCACTACACCTACACAGCAACACCAAAAGCAAAAGAGAGACGAAGCAACTAACACAAAACAGTAAGGTACGAACCACTACTAGAGACGGTAAGAGCACCAATGCAAATAACAGTAAGAGAGTTAAATGGACCAAGGAGAAAAGAAAGTTAAGTAAAATGACTTTGTAAATAGTTTACTTAAAATGGTATATTTCTCTACATAGTTAAAAAGAGATGACATTAGTTAAATTTATGGCGCCTATAGCCCATTAGCCCCCACCACAAACACAAATATGAGATAAACGGAACTTTCATTCTCATTTTATTAGATACTTACGTCTTATCCAATTTAAATCCATATAGGGAAGGAGCGTTGTTGTTTACGAGGTGTTTATCATTTACATGAACCTATTTTAGCATGCTTTATAATAACTTTAATTTGAAAGCATGTGTTTCATGCCATTCTTTAAGTCTTTCAATCTTTTCCATGTTTACTGTATATCAATCGTTCTTAATGTTATTACACAGCGTTGTCACTCATTTCAGATATCCAACAAAACATACACGTATTTTAAAGTTGTTTTGAAATTATATCATTGTCATATATATGCGAATATAATACGAGTACTATACATACGTGAATATATTACGCATATCGTATGTATTCTAATTAACTACGTTCCCAAATATCACTTCATATTCCAAGAACCAAAATTAAATTAGGCACATAATTGATGGGGTAGAAGTGATTTTTTCCTATCAAGTTCTTATATGATTTTTGGGTCTACTTTTATTTTATGGACCCTAGATAGTATACAAATATTATGATATAACTGAATTTTCTGTAATAAGAAAAGAAGATTCTCATATCGGTACATAAAATTATGAAAATATTCATATTTCACATATAGATGTTAAAATCACGCAAGCAAACTATATGGAGTATTTTTTTTCCTTGAACTAAACTTAGATTCTTTCCTTTTTTTCCCATTCCAATTCAACAAGATTATTTTAAAAGACCCCTCAGGCCCTCACCTTGTTTCCTTGTTATTCCTTGAGCCAACAACCCTCCAAGAGGGAAAGAATTTTTGACATTTAAAACAGCATATTCACAGGCAGTTAGCACCGCTCCACCATAGATATTTCCGCGTCGCTTGCCAGCTGTTGGCTCGCCGATTAACTGGTTTCGTACGCCCGGGGCCACCGTCTGGTCCCATTCTGCTCCGCCATCGTAATTTACCCACTCACTACCCCAGTGGTCTCTCATGGGGTGCATTCATATTCCGGAGAAAGGCAAGGAATCGCGCAGAATCAGAAGATGACCTAAAACGGAAATTTTTTGGAAACGCGCTTCTGATTTCTTGAATTGACGACCGGAGAGATCGATTTCCCCCTGAAATTTTCTTGAAATTTTCTTTTGAGTTGAAGGAACAATGGCGAAAACGGGGGCGGTGGATGGCTGTGACCCCGCCCTAACAGAGGCGGAGTTGAAGAAGGAGTTGCAGAGGGCGGCGAGGGTGATAATCAGTGAGGATGAAGTCAATGTGGGGGCAATCGATGAAGCCCTACAAGCGCTGTGCTCTCTGAGGCACCTTAAGACAAAGCACCATCGGTCGTCGTTCGCTGAACCAAAAGCGCCTTCTCTCCCTGATGAATTTCGTTGCCCTCTTTCCAATGAACTCATGAAGGATCCTGTGATTGTCGCCAGTGGTCAGGTATTATGGGAGTTTCGTCACTTCAATCTTATGATGATGATGATGATGATGATGATGTATTTATGTGATTTTAATATTTTCTGTCCAAATTTGAAGTCTTTGAAACGAATTGATATCTGAATTTGTGGATTTCTCCTTTTCTGGCCACTGAATTCATGTTTAATGCAAAGTCATACTTGTATTGTATTTCACTCTTTTTGAAATATTATTTGGCTATGTCTGGAGTCATCTAGATGATTCATCCTGTGGAATTACACAGGGGTTGTTCTTTGCTTAGGGTTAATAATTTATTTACAGATGTATTAATCTATCTATTTATGGAATTGTGTTTATCTCACTTGAACTGAAGAGACGCACATTGTGATTTGCTTCGTGTATTAAAAAGATCTTTAACTTTTATGTTTTCATGATGAACCGGGATCTCAACGCACATCTTGCCTCCCCAAACTCTACTCTTGAGTGAAATATAGTACTAGGTTTGTTTGGTTTTGATATCTGGGTATGTTTGTTGATTTTATTGTGCTGTATTTGCTCTCTCCTCATGAATTTGCAGACATATGAGAGGTCATTCATTCAAAAATGGTTAAAATCTGGGAACAGAACATGCCCACGAACTCAACAGGTGCTCTCCCATACTATTCTTACACCTAATCTGCTGGTTCAAGATATGATATCTCGGTGGTGCAACATTAATGGGATCCATTTGCCAGACCATGTAGATCAGGAGGGGCTTACCGAAGCCGATCGAAACCATTTTAACTCTTTGCTCGAGAGAATGTCTTCGTCATTGCCTGATAAAAAAGAGGCTGCTAGAGAATTGCGCATGTTGACTAAAAGGGTGCCTTCTTTCAGAGCATTGTTTGGGCAATATGAGAATTCAATAGCTCAACTGATCTCCCCTTTGTGTGAAAGTGAGTCCTTAGACGACGTACAAGTTGAACTCCATGAAGACATAGTCACTACACTTTTGAATATTTCCATCCATGATGACAACAAGAAGCTCGTTGCAGAAACCCCTATGGTCATTCCTCTTCTGATGCAAACATTACAATTGGGGACAATCGAAGCAAGAAGCAATGCAGCTGCTGCCCTTTTCACCCTATCAGCCCTCGATTCGAATAAAACACTTATTGGGAAATCAGGTGCCCTGAAACATCTCATTAGCCTACTAGAAGAAGGGCATCCTTTGGCAATGAAAGATGCTGCTTCTGCAATTTTCAGCCTCTGCATTCTCCACGAAAATAAAATCAGAGCAGTCCGAGATGGTGCAGTGAGCGTTTTATTGGAAAAGATTGTGAATAGAGTGAACATTGATGAATTGCTGGCCATACTTGCGATGCTCTCAACCAATCAGAAAGCAGTGGTGGAAATGGGAGAGCTTGACGCAGTTCCACTCTTGCTTGGTTTAATGAGGGAGACGCCATGCGCCCGCAACAAGGAGAACTGCGTGGCTGTTCTGTACACAATATGCTTTAGCGACCGAACTAAGTGGAAAGAGATGAGGGAAGAGGAAAATAAGTACGGTATAATCTCTCAGCTTGCAGAAAACGGCACTTCAAGAGCCAGGAGGAAGGCCAGCAGCATTCTTGACAGACTGAATAGGGCGTTCAATATCACTCATTCCGCATGATGGAGACACTTTGGAAGCACAAATCTGTAAATTCTACACTTTTCATACACCTCGCGTCTTTACTGAAGCAAGATATCTTCATTTACAACTGTTGTTGTTCTGTATATAATACTCCGTATATATACATTTACAGATTTACCCCTGTGCTATAGTCACTGACAGTGAATAAATAATCTTTGGCATTTTATTATTACTATCATGTCGTTTATTTGCTTAACAAATCTTTCCCTGTCTTCGCGTCTCGCTGGTTTATGTTGTGGGTTCTTCTTGAGTTCTTGGTTATGTTTAAAACCTCGTTGGTCGAACGAGCAGAATCTGTTTGAAAAATCAGATGGAAGCTCCCAGTCGCCTCTAATATATGTTTGGTTTATTAGCTTGAGAAGCAATAGTTTTGAGCTTTCCTTAGTCTTTTGAGTTAGGCAGCATGGAAAACAAACCTTGGGGGTAACCTGTTCACGAGTTTTGCGTGGGTTATCTCTAGGCTTACGTCAATAAGAGGCAAACTGGTTCTAAATGTAAATTACATGCATTTTACTAACCCCCTGACTCCGTCCGTCCCTAAAAGATTGTCATAGTTTGACTTTTTGGTCAAATCGTTACACCCTTTGGCTGCAAATTATGGAAAAAGTATATTTAATTATAATGTAAATTTAATGAAATTGGATTTATTTTTAAATATAGTTTTGAAATATCAAATTTTTATAATATTTAATTTTTTTTAACTATACTTAATTAATGATCAAAGATGTCACAGTTTAACCAAAAAAGTCAAATTTGGGTAATACTGAGAGAGTATAATGGAAGACTGCATACACGTTTTATTTCTTTAGTAGGTTTTATAGGTAGGGTGCAGGTTGATAATCAATTTCTCATTTCCTTGCATTCATTTTAAACCTATATTAATAATTACTCCCTTTGTCTCATAATATTTCTTTCCTAATAGTTTGACTTAAGGAAATTTTTAAAAATTGTTGAAAAAGTAAAAGTGTGTCAGTTAAATTTGTTTTAAGTAGTGAAAATTGATGGTAGTCACATATTCATTACCAAAATAGGAAATAAAGAAAGTGTAAAGATTTTTTACACGTCCAAAAAAGGAAAGTGTAAAAAATTTTATGGAAGTGTAGGAGTATATTATACTCAAGT